AGGTAACTAGATTACATTTTTAGTGTAATTATTTTAGACAATGGATTTTTTGACAATGGATTTTTAATACAAAAAATAGGGACAGTGATAGGAGAAGCATGAAACTTTCATGAAGTAGTCTGAAGATAGTACTTTTTTGTAAGCCATAAAAATTTACAGGAAGGCCATGATTTCCAAATGTAAATATGTTAAAATGGTACATATATGTATAATATTAGAATGGTTAATAAACCGAATTTACTTTTTGAATTTTAATGACAAGAGCAAAGATAAGCACTCATGAGATATATATGATGCTTCCATTGATTGCTCCAAAACTTCAGTTTGTATAATCTTCCTTTGTACTGGTAAAGAAGATATCAATATTAAGGAGCCCATTCATTTAAGACCTGTATCCAAAGTGGTGAGAGACTTTGATAGCAAATGCTCAGCTTTTAGTAGACTTTTAAAGTGAAACTTTTACATCACATTCTATTCTGACATTTTAGCAAGAGAAAAGTTGTAGGTAGGAGGAAGAAATTTCACGGATGGGTAGCTTAGCTTAAACCACAGGTCCTACAGAATTAACTAAGAGCAGTAGGTATAATTATTACTAGTTGAGATATTTAAAAATTACAATGCCAGATGTTGTTTTTCTTTAAGACAAATACTATCTTGCCACTTAGCTTACCACATTAATTTTAGGCTTTTGACAGAAAGTGCACAGTGACTGCTTTTTGATCTGGTTTTTATAGCAAACAAAAAGATTGACAATTGCAAATGTTACTAATTTCCGACTTCTTAGGCCTTGTTTATTATAGTACATTACTTAGTTCCTTATGTACTGGGAGAGCTTGAAAGATCTTTCACATGATTGTGTGGTGTCATTTTTCATCCTGGCAACAAACAGTTTAATTCCAGGATTCTAAAGAACACTTTCAGAGGATTGATGAGACTATGAAGGGGAAAGACAGAAGGGACTGAAAAGATACAAATTAAGTTTTTCACTAAACTCTAGGCAGAAACAAGGTCATTCAGGGAGAGGAGGAGTGAAGCGAGAGGTATGTTGAGCTGGGCCAGCAACAGAGGTCAGACGGGGCAGCTGGAAGCCCTGCGTGTGCGTGCATGTGGGGTGATGAAGACATGTTCTTCCTGCCTCTCTACAGCCTCCTAATAGGTTCCCCAATCAGGACCTGTTTTGTTTTTTTTTTCTCTTTATATGGCCCCAGATGACCACCCTGGTCTGGAGTCTTGTGTTTTGGCATTACTATGAATTAAACCCAGGCCCTTTGCATGGAGCTATGTTCCCAGCTGTTTTTTATTTTTCTTTTTGAGAGAGGGTCTTGCTAAGTTGCCCTGGCTGAGCTCAAATTTGTGATCTTCCTGCCTCAGCCTCCCATAGAGGTAGCATTACAGGGGTGCTCACCACGCCTAGCTTTGCCCTGGAACTTTAAAAAAATAACAGTGTAGCCTGTTTATAAAGCAAACACAAATAAGATTTAGAGTTCACTGCTTCTAGGGCTGGGGATATAGCTCGGTGGCACAAGTACCTGCCTGGCAAGCTCAAGGTCCTGAATTCGATTTCCGGTACCAGAAAAAACAAACAAACAAACAAAAAATAAAACAGAGTTCACTGCTTCTAAGGGACAGTCTCCTAATAGCTCAGATTACTCCAAGAATTCATCTTCTATCTTCAAATGCAGTATAAAAGTGTGTGTTTTTTTGTAGTGATTTTTGACAGCCTATTTCAGTCCAAATAAAATTCAGATAGAAGAAATAAATACAGGGGCCGGGGATATAGCTCAGCAGCGTATAGTTTGTGAGTTCAATTCCCGATATTGAAAGAAAGAAAGGAAGGAAGGAAGGAAGGAAGGAAGGAAGGAGGGAGGGAGGGAGGGAGGGAGGAAGGAAGGAAGGAAGGAAGGAAGGAAGGAAGGAAGGAAGGAAGGAAGGAAGGAAGGAAGGAAGGGAAAAGAAAGAAAGAAATACAGCCCCAATTTATTAAAGTATAGTTGTATGGTCATATAACAACTATATGGTCTTCTGGTCATATAACCCATGCTAGTTCTAGGGGTGGAGAGAACAGTTATTTAACTGAGCTGTTATAACAATTAAAAATTTTAAAGTAAAAATTTAACAAATGTTAGTCATCAAATAGTAAATATAATACTTGCTTTTCCTTCCAGGAGTGGACGTTTCTCTTGTGAGCCAGCTGGAGGTCTTACCTCATTGACTGAACCACCCAAAGGACCTGGGTTTGGTGTGCAAGCAGGCCTTTAATTTATATTCCACTATATATATGTGACTGGAGAAATAAAATGTGAACCTCCCATCTGCATAAACTTTGTAATTGTTTGGTTATCCTGCTCTGCCAACATCTTGGCAGCCTAGCAACGTGCAGCTGTCATCATGCCCATGTGACAGCAGTGTCTTACCGTTGTCTGCTTTCAGTGGCTGCCTGTGAAGATGTTATGGGATCAAGTTAACAGTTACTCCACTGTCACCCATTTTCGACTGCACAATATTTACCAATATTAGAGTCCTGTAAAGTAAAAATTCTGTTGAACTTCAAAGCCATTTTGTTTTTTCCGTCTTAGCCATAGAGAAGTAGTTAGTTAACACTGTTTCTATGAGCCTTAGGATCTCCTTTAACACGTTAGTATTTACACTACACAACTGTTACTGTTTCCAGCTGGAAAGACTTCAAGCCCAGTGTAGGTATAATAGGTAGTTCTTTTTCTAGAAGCAGTTATTATTTTTACAAAGGTACAAAATCTTTTGACATTACAGTCTCTGTGGCTATTGTAATTAACACTGTACTATACAAATAACTGGAGCAAGAAGTCAGCATAATCATCAGGTGAAGACTAGTTGTAGGCCACTACAACTTAGAAGAAAGGATAAATGCATTTATATATTGCATCCAGTCCAGGAAACCAACTTCAGTACATTCCTTTTGTAAGCTGAGAGGTACAGCCAGCTTCAACACTGGACAGATATAAACTAATCACATTTCAGGATTTATCAAAGTCCTTGTGTGCTTCAGACAGATTAAAACTGTTCATTAATAATTATGATGCCTAAAGACTGACTTTGTGCTGCAGAGGGATCGAACCCAGGGCCTCCAGCATGCTAGGCAAGCATCCTACCACGGAGCTACACTTACAGCCCAAAACTTAATAAGTATGTATTTAAAACTTAGTTTTTTTTTAATCTTGAGAGAAACAAGTAATTTTCCAAAATCTTCAAGTTTCTTACATCCTGCAGCCCTCTTGACCTTATGAATAACTATTTTTTAAGAAAATGGTATGTCATACAATTGTAGGTTAAATGTAACAATGTTCTACCTCTGGGCAAAAAGGCTCGCAGTTTATACTGAACCCAGTGATTCATAGGTGGAAGAAGCCTAGGAAGTGAAAACACAAACGCTGGCCTTTAATGTAGGTTCATACTTTATAATTTTTTGGGACTCCGCTTTCCTCTGAAGTCTGAATGTCCAATGAGAACCTTCATCAGTGACATAAAGGGCAGTCTGACCAATTTGTGACTGCACTCACCAAAGCACAACTGGATGCAGAGCTTAGCCACGGCTGCCCGTGAGGGAGCAGACGGCTTTCTGCGGAGCACACGCCTCGAGTGGCTGGGCACGTACAACTGTTGCAGGTTAACCTCTACGTAGACAAAACATCCCCAGGAAGTTGCAAGGCCCGCTGCGGCTAGGCTGAGACACTGCCCTTCCTTCTCGCACCCCTCGCCCCCCAGCACCTGACCAGTTCCCTCTGGAACCCTCTATCCCGCACGGGGAAAGTGCACTGAAACGTGTAAGGGGTGGCGCAGCGGGCCGGGTCTGTCGCGCGGTCCTCGCTACAGAGGCACGGTCTGTGGGGGCGACGGGGGTCCACCGAGCAGCACCGGCTCCCGCGCAGGTGTAGGTGCAGGTGCCGCCCGCGGCGCGCAGGCGCAGTGCGGCCCTGACCCTGAGGGGCCGCCTGCGCCGCACCCACAGGCCCGACCCCGCCCGAGCCGCGCTGCTGGCGGCGTCCTGCGCGGGGCCTTCCTCAACCCTCGCCCACCGCCCTTGCCAAAAGCAGCGTCTGGATACCCTCCATGGAGCCGCCGCCTCACCGCCGCCATTTCCAGAAGCTTCCAGCCGCAGCCCCTGCCATGGCCGCCGCGGGGCGCGATGCGACGCCCGCTCGGACGCCGCGTCTTCCCGACGCCCTCCGGGGCCGCGGCTCCGCTCTGGGCCGCTGCGAGG